TGCTGACGTGTGTGGAAGCCTCACAGTAGTAGCCCCAGAGGCGTTGATGACCTCTTTTTGCAAGCTCCCAAAACAGGACCATGAAAAAATATCATGTTCTTGGCAATATACCCTGCCTGAGTCCCGCGCCGGGTGGCTCTTGTGGCAAATTCTGACTCGACTCTTGTGGCATTGGCACAGGTACTTGCACCATCTCCTGAGCAACTGGCAGCGACCTCTGCATCAGCAGCTGCATTCGCATTCAGATATAGATGAGAGAGAGTTCGACTGTGGCGATCGTGTACGGCGCAGGGCGTCTTTGCGGCTGCAAGTGTCTCCTATGCCTAGTGGCATGAGGCTCATGGTCAAGACAGCCGGTTGGGCAGACCTTTGCCAACTTGCATCAGCTGAAGTTTTGACGAGGCCACCCAATTCAGGCGTCACTCATTTTGCTTGCTGCAGCTTGATGACAACAATCAAACAGCGCATGGTGTAGCAGTAGCAAGCTGCATCCTGCACTTCTCAAAGTAGCTTTTACAGATCTCGTGCACCTTGTCTGCAGGCGGTTGCCGAGGTGATATAGCCTGTGCCCATGGCAGTCCGCGTTGACAATGCTTGATGCTGGTGTAGTCAAGTCACCACTGAGTGACTGGGCCAAAAGTGCTTGCAATCAGAAGCCCTGCGCAGCTGGAACTCGCTGCGCTGTGACTTCAGGCCGGTCTACACTGGCGAAGGCGTGCACAGATACTCTAATTTGTCCCTAGCCAGGCTTTCAAGCAGGTTGCCTGCAACTGGCAGTCCTTGAAACACGAGCAGCGCCAACACTGCCCTATGAAGTCAATCCAAACATGGAGGTACTCATTGGCTGCGTGAGTTTTTTCTGGTGTGCACAATGGCTCCAAAGCAGCTAAGCGTGAACCTTCAAGTTGTATGTTTCGTGTACTCAAGTCCACGCGAAGATTTTGCACGAGGATGAAGGCGCCTCCTAGACCATCGAGACAAAGAGCCATGTCGGTTGGCTGCATGAGTTGCGGTGGTGTGCACGATAGCTCTTTCTCAACAAGCCTGTTGGGTATTGCTAGTGCGTGCCGGGATGTTCTAGGAGTTTGGCAGCTACAAGTGCGTACAGGTGCAGGACCCTTTTTTGAAGGGTCGGCCCGTGTGATCACAGGATTCCGTAACATGCTACTTGAAGAAACATCGCTGGTGGGTTGTTTGGGTTTAGTTTTGTAGCGATTTGGGTTTGTACCGCAGGCCGGACAGCTTGTCTCTTCACAGGCTTCAGCAGCTAGCAACATGTCCGCCCCCATGCCGCGCTCCCACAAACTTCAAACCCCGAAATCCTGAGGCCTAACTTAACCCTAACACATGGCACTTAAGAAGGCAGGGTGTTGGATTTCGTCCGGGCTCCATTCTGGGCTTGTTCCCTGATGCTTAGAAGGGAATGCGCAATCGGATCTCCATAACGGTCTTTTTGGAATGCTTTTTTTCCGTAAACCCGGCCCCCCAGTCCTTACTGAGCCGAAGGAAGCTTGGGTGGCATCTTTTCAGCCTCGCGTCTACCTCTGCTGCTTTCGCGCAAGTTTCGTGCTAGTGATGCGTGCAAGGGCATGGTGCATTGCTGTTGAGGAGGATGGCCCAATGGCAGCCAGCAAGCTAGCAAGCTAGTCCTGGAACCCTCAGTTTTAAATCCTCAGCAATGCTCAGCAATGGCCGTTCAGCATGTCATGTCCCTCCCGGCAAAGTTAAAACCCTGACACAGGCCAACAGGATTTAGATTGTCAAATTAGAGGTCTTCGGATTGTATTCCAAACTTTGGAGTGGTGCATCCGCTAAACCCTGCATGATCAATCGCTTTGAGACCTCGGGCCTGAAAGTATCCCAAGTCCAGATGTTGGCGCTGAAAAACTGGCCACTGAAGGCTTCTGAGACAAGAGAAATTGTAACCCCATCTACCTGAAGCATAGTAGTTTGAGCTCGTTCATAAAAGGTGTAACCCCGGAAAGTGTGGGCAAGTGGAATCTTAAGGAGGGCTTGCCCTATATCTTGGCTTTGAACCCTCTCCCCGCCTCTGACACGTCGCTTTAGGGTCAAGTGTCTGGGTAGGCCCTTGAACTATTGAATATTTTCCCTAATGGTTGTAATAAGGGACCCTATATACTAATATTTTTCAACAGGCTTTAGGTGCCAACCCAGGTGTTTTGGTGTTTGGAAACACCCTCGTGCTCACCATGCAATCACAATCACACTGCACGAGTTTCAAACCATACGATGGCTGAAAAAGGGCAGCAGACATTGGAGAATTTCTTGTTCAAGGGCGTCACTCCCAAGGTCCTCCGCAAGATGCAGCTGGCCACGGATCCAGCAAACGCATAGCCTACTCACGGCTTCGGAGTCTAAACCTTAAGCCCATATGGGTGGTTGTCAAAATTATGGTCCCTTTTTGGATTCCCTTTCTTTAAGACGACACCTAATATTTAGGGTACCCCAAAAAGGACCATAATGTTGACAACCACCCATATGCCTTAACCCCAAAACCCTAAACCGCAATCGCAAGCCGTGTCAGATGAGGGCTTGAACCCATGTAACCTGTTTGGCGGCGCTGGCAAAATCTGCGCTGTGCCTACTTCTTTTGCTTGTTGAATCATAGTGCTTTGCAGGGATTATGGGTTCTAGGAATATTTTGCCTAAAATAATGAAGGGGAACCAAATGGAAAAGAACGTGGATTGTAGAGCTAGGAAGGGGAAAGCCAGCGTTATAACCAGGTAATACATTCTTGTTTTGCATGTTTTGTTTGTATAGACAGTACTTGAGTTTCGACCTTGGTTCTTATTGTTGTGTGCATGGCTTGAAACGTAAGAAACAAGAAGGGGAGTCATAGTACAGTGACTCCAGAACAGGCCCCATTATGTTTGGAATAACTTGTGACGGAAAGTCATAGCTGCAGGCACAGCTCTATGGGGAGAGACAGACGTATAGATAGTTCCACCCAGCTTCGCGCAAGTAAAGAAACAGGAAAAAGAGTCCGTTGGGCACGTGAGAGACAGTTGACATGAAAAATTCTGCATGACCTTTGCATACTGAAGTACCACTTATTATAGTATGGGGGGGTCTTTATTGGGGTCCCCCTATTTTGGGAAACTGCCAGTCTTTATTTAAAAAGTTGGCAGCCACGCACATGGACATGGATCCTGCCGATTTACAGGCAGGCGCAATACCCGCCTCCGAGAGCCATCGTCTCGCAAATCTCAAAACAGAGGTCTTTTCGTAAGCTAGGAATCAAGGAATGGATCCCTATAGTATCCTTATAGTAGTCCCTATATAACCCATGATAGTAGTTTCCATTTTCTTTTCCATTCATTCTAAACCCGAAGCCTTAAACCCTAGAGTGGCTTCCATTTTCTTTTCCATTCCTTCATTCCCAGCTAACCAAGGGCCAGAACAGAGGTCAGGTGAGCATGGTTCGGGTTGAGATTTCGTTGAGGTCGCACATTAGTGGCTTAGCAAATTTGTCTGACCGTTTTGTTCTCAAAGAACGGTCAACATGCGGAACCCACCAACTTAACCGTTGTTATGGGATTGTTTGATCCGCGCTTGCTTGTTGCACGATTTGATGTCCAGCCTTTCAACTTGGGAGTTTGGTGTGTTTTTGTGTCCATAGGCAGGGCTGAGGAGAAACAGAGGGCCTAGCGCATCTTGCCGCAGTTATGTTCAGCCCGCCCTCAACAAGACCCCGCTACTGCAAAGATAAATCCAAATGAATAGCGGACATAGGCTCTCCGAATAGCAGGTTCTGCTATGTATCTTCAGTCGTGGTTGAGTGGACGTACTATATTTTTCTCGATTCATGGCATGGCGTCGACTTGGCACATGCTAAAGTGCAGCACAGCAGGATCAGACACGTAGATTTCACACGCGCAGATGGACCAAACAACATTCCCAAGTTCATTCCCCAAATCCCAAAGTTTACATCCTAAACTGCCAAACTTCAGAATTCCAGAGAAGTCTTGTTCATTGCCCCGGCTTAAGCTCAAGCAGTCGAGGTCCCTTGTGAGTCCCAGGATTTGGGGTTTGAGGTCTTCCAGCCGTAGTACCAGTTGGTATTATCATTGCTATGTCTAGTATGCTTAGTTTCTAGTATTATTATGACTGGTCAGGGTTCAGAGATTTGGATTTGAGGTTTGGAAATTTAGATCCCGAACCTCAGGCAAAGGACAACTCCTCAACAAACATCTTCTGGTCTTAGTGGTGTTGGGTTTACTGGGTTTGAAAACCCTAACCCCAAAGTGGGTTTAGTGTCTTTAGGGTTTTTGGAGTTTAGATGGTAGTTTCCCAAATTAAGGGGAACCCCAATGTAGACCCCAAAGTATTACAATCCTTATTGTGGGACCCCCTAGAAGGTACCCCTAATTTTGGGAACCCCTTAACCCCAGACCCTAGATTATAGCTTCCATTTTCTTTTCCAGTATCCCTATAAAGCCCCTATATAACCCTAGGTTTACCCTAAACCCTAAACCCTAAACCCATATTTTGGGAAGCTTTCATATAGAGTTCCGCAGGAAGCCACTATCCAACTCCGTAGGAGCCAGCTTTGGCGGTTGGTGTTCTTGGCTGGGTTTAGGGTTTAGGGATTTAGGGTTTAGGGATTAGGGTTTAGGGATTTAGGGTTTAGGGATTTAGGGATTTAGGGTTTAGGGTTTAGGGTTTAGGGACAGATGGAGGCCCAAAGATGAGAAAAACAAGGCTTTGGGTTGTATTCTGTTATACTCACAGCAGGATTCAGAAGGAGTTCTAATGGTAGTTTGTCAGGCTTTACATTACGATCTCTACCAGTAACGTGTTGTACTACCAAGAGCCATGGTAAGAATGATAACAGTGATCATAGTAGTACGGTTGATACTAACAGGATTTTTAGTATCCACCGTAGTAACAAGAAACAGTAGCCATGAAGCGCGTATTAGTCCTGGGATCGGGGGCTATCGGCCTTGGGACCGCCTTGGAGCTAGCCGCGAAGAGGCAGATGCGAGTGAAGCTATACTCTCCAAGGCATCCTCTGCATCCTAGCACCCGGGAGGCTTTTTAGATAGCTTAGAAGGCCCCCCACCCTGTAATAGTGGTATAATAGGAATATAAGAGGACTCTATCATCCTTACTATTCCTGATAGTCACTATTATTGGGTGGGGGGTCCACCTAAAAGATAGCGTAGGGTTTAGGGTTTACGGTTTGGGGTCCAGGTTTTTTAAGATTTGGGGTCGGAGGTTTTGATTTCAGGATTTAGAGCTTAGGTACTTGACTCCCAGTAGCTTCCTTCTATAATTATACTACATGTAGAGGGCGCCTGATTCTTGATCGTTTGCCTGGGTTAGTCATAGGCACTTGTTCAATGGGTGCCGGTGGTCTCTGGATGCCCTTCCACTGCGACGACCCGCGCACCGGTCGATGGGCGGCGGAAACATTGGACGAACTCTTCACGTACGAGACTCAGGGGCAGGCTGACGCCGGACCTGCGTGTGTGGAAAGCTTTGCAGCTTTTTCGGAGTCCTGTTTGCAATAACCACCAACACCTTTCGACGGCTTTCACGAACCGCCAAGGATGGAGGCCAAGAACAGCTGGTAGAGATTGTCCCTATCTTGAAGCTGCTAGAGGAATCTGGCAGGCCTGTCAGTGACGAACCGGGGACGGAAACCCGGGGACAAGTTTCCCAAACGTTTTGACTGTTGTTTCTTGTGCTCTGCAATGTCGTACCCAAATTAAACGTAGTCCTCCAGATTTCTTTTCTGTCGCCATTTTCGCTCGAGAAAAAAGAAGGCTAAGGACAACTTCGGTGACCCGGAGGAGTGGACTAAGGATCCGAGGCTTCACTTTCAGCGCTTGTCTATAGACCCTTGTCCTTTAAAACTGACTGGGGAGTGTAACGAAGGTGCAGGATCTTATGGTTGAGGGTGTTTGGGTTCGAAGGCAGTCCCCGGCTTGTTCTGGTAGCTCTTTCGAACAATTTGAGACCTATGTTTTGAAGTTCACTATGTCATCCTTTAGAGGGACCCCTACAACCACACATAATTGCTAATTACTTATCCCCAGGGTCACCTAGCATAATTGAATTTTAGGAAGCGTCGCATGGTCAGCTGAGGAAAAGCTGTTCCAACTGAACAAGGTGAATCGGTTTAGGCTTCCTTTCAAGCACGAGCTTATCGACGCTGGTTATCGATATGGACACTTGTTCTTTCCGCCCATAGTGAACTCACCGCTTATGCTTGCTCACCTGTTGGAGGAGGCATCGAAGACGCTGGAGGAGGTAGATGTGCCGTCGTCCCCAGCAGACGAAACAAGAGAATTCTGTGAATCGATGAGCGATGTTATGGACCTTGCTGCCACAAAGAACTGTGACGCAGTCGTTAACTGCACAGGCTTGGGTTCCCGCCAGCTTTGTCAGGACAATGAAGTGCTCGGAGCACGAGGAATTCTTCTCAACTTTGAGAGGACGGAATTAGGACGCCGGGAACCAAATGGCGACGAAGCAAACAGAAAGGATATTGCCATCATGGCTGAGAGCGGCCCCTGGGCTAGCGAAACGATGCCCTGCTACATGATCCCACGTGGATCGCGGATTGTTGTGGGGGGCAGCTATTTAGAGGAGGATGGCTGCCAGACCATCACCCAGGAGGAGAGAGCCCAGCTTTTTCGGAATGCCTTCCATCTTGGGATCGATCTTGACAAAAGCAGGCCAGTGCAGCAGTGGGTCGGATTTCGACCCTACAGGCCCATGGTTCGATGCCAGGTTGATCCCAACTACATAGGGTCCTCTATCAAGCTCATACATAACTATGGGCATGGTGGCAGTGGATGGACTGTCAATGTTGGAGCTGCCAAGGAATGTGCTTCCTTGGTACAAGAGGCACTGCAGGGGTGATAAAGGGAGTTCTTTCTCAGGACTGTTGGATAGAAATCGTGTTTTCAGCTTGTCGGTACGCATCCGGTACAGATTTCAAGCTCCGGTGGAGCATTGAAACATGCGCACTGTACATTGAGCTGATTGGAGAAGACTGGACAGGGTGCAAGTTCCGCAAAGGAATCTCTGCAACACATCGGTGCGCTGAGGCTCCAACGTGCCCTTAAGTACTGACAATCAGAAGACAGGTGAGATCATGTCTGCTGACTGCTGATTGCCGTTATGTTTTGAATTTGTCCGCAGGGAGTTTCCCGTTTGGGCTCAGGCTGCACCATCTGTCGCAGCATCTATTTTTCATGAGGATGCTTACTTATTTGGGAGTGCGACACTACTCCTCCACATCTACCCTTGCAATCCCTAGCCACATCCTTCATGTTCCCCCAAATAATTCCTATATAGCCCATAATTGTAGTTTCCATTTTGTGTTCCATTAGAGAAAGGGCCCCAGCCCAAAGGCGAAGCCAAGCCACGCCACGCATCAAAAAGTCTCAATGGCGGCCGGCGCCGGGGGCACAACACGCAGCTACCTGCCTCAAATCATGGCAAAGGGGGCGCAAGGGCAAGCCTAGTCCCTACTTGGAGGGTCAGGGGACCTAGTAAGTTGGGTAGTAATGGGGATAGGTAGGCTACTATATGCGTTACAGGGGTTATTAACCTACTTATATAAGCCCAAGCCGCAAATAGTGCTTAAATAGCACTTCAACAAGCAGGGGCCGGGGCGACAAAAACATCTAGGGGCTCCTTTGCCATTTGAGCGTTTCTCGAAATTCTGGGTCCCTTGTTTGAGGTGCCTATACCTAGGATCGTTACATGGGAATATATTGCGTGTCTTAATTTCGAGCAATGCTCATTCAGGCACAGGCTTCCTCTTGGGGAGAGCGCCGTAAACCCCAGGATAGGGTTTAGGGTTTCGGGTTGACTGATTGTTGAGGGTAGGGTTTAGGGTTCAGGGTTCAGGTTTCGGTTTAGGGTTGAGTGATTCAGGATTTAGGGTTAAAGGTTTATGGTTCACAGCCCTTGAGCCCTCAGAGTCCCAGTGCCTGCAACCCAAGAAAGCCCTCAAAAACCTCCATCTAACCCATAATCTAAACGCCTTAAAGGGCGTTCTCTAAGGGATTATAAAGGGGACTACTATAGGGGTTATCAAGGCGGATACTAGGAATTTAGATTATGGATCATCTGCTGAGGAGATGTTGCAGATGAAGCGCCCCTGCTTGAGGCCCCAGCGCAAGAGGCCGTTGCTGAACAAATGGGATCCTGTTGGGCCGTTTCCCAAAAACTGTGGTCAGAGTTTGGGTTTGGGTGGTATGTCAAGATAAGGAAGATGTCGCTTTAGCTATATAAAGGATTCTTCTTGGACAATCACCACCCTGCAGGAGGTAGACACCATTTGCTGTAAGGCATCTCTGGTGTCGAGAAGTAGTTGAGAAGGGTTAAATTCTTGATTCTTAGGCTCCATCAGATGGGTAGTTGTCAAAATTATGGTCCCCTTTTTGGGTACCCTAAATATTAGGGGCCGTATTAGAATAGGGATCCAAAAAGGGCCCATCATTTTGACAACCACCCAGATAATGGGGCTTTTTAGGCCTCATGGTGCTACAAGGGTGAAGATATCTTGGAGCCGAGGCCCTAAGCTTCAGGCGGAACCCTCAGGCTGCTGAACCTTGAGCCTACGGAGACCTTACCTATAGTCCCCCTTGAGTAGATAGAATATATGGTATATAGGGATCTTATTGTAATATACCCAAAGCCAAATTCTATCCACTCAAGGGGGACAAAAAGCCTCATACTTTGTCTTATGTAGCTCTTGGAACGCCCCTTAGCAACTTCTCTATACCCTTCGCAGTATAACCCTTATATGAAGCCTTTCCGGTGGGAAGCTATCCTTCCAAAAGGATGAGAGTTTGTCGAATTGCGCCCTAGAAGAACTGTAATAGGAACCATTACCATCCCGTCCCCCCGTATCTGTAGGGTCCCGATGGTGTCCCTCTTTTGAGAAAGTCCGCTAAGCAAGGACAGGCCCCACGTTTCTCTCCTTGCGTCCTCGGGATCAGTATAACGTGTTATTCCTCTTATTCTTCTTATATTATTGCTATTCCGTTTATCATGATTATTCTTCTTATGATTCGTAATTTTGATATTGTTTTTTGGCAGGCCACTATGGAGATCCAGTTTGTGCCTAGCAAACCCTAAGGCTTGCAAACCCGTTGGGAGTTTTCATTTTCCTTTCCATTTCTTCATGCCCTGATAATCCTGTAGTAGTTTTCCGTTTCGGATTTTGTGCCTGCAATCTCTGCGGAACCCTAGGCCCCAAAATTTAGTTCCTACATGCTAGAGAAATTTCGATTCTCTATTCCAATCCCTGCGGGCCGTACAGCTACCAATGAGTTTGTCACGTGGAAATTGCCAGGCGATGGACAGCGTGCAGCTCCCACAACCCACTTGCAAGGAGCAGGTGGCAGGGTCTCAGCACAGAAAGGGACGCCCGTAGGTCCCGTTTCGGACTTCATATGAGTGGTTGTCAAAATTATGGTCCCTTTTTGGATCCCTATTATAATACGGCATCTAGTATTTAGGGTGCCATAATTTTGACGACCACCCCTTTGAGTATGTGCATGCACATCTATGTCTACAGATATCGTGCCCCCTGTTCCTAAGCCTATAGTCCCCCTCAAGTAGATGGAACATAGCTTTGGGTATGTTATAATAAGATCCCCGTATACCCTATGTTCTATCTACTTGAGGGGGGCCATAAACCCCGAACCCTAAACCTTAAACCCTAAACCCTATATTCTCGGACTATAAATCCCAAATCCTAAACCCTAAACCTTCAACCCTAAACCCTATAGTCTTTCTACTTAAGGGGGGACTATAAACCCCAAACGCTAGACCCTGTATTTTATCTACTTAAGGGGGGACCATAAGACCTAAAACCATAATTTTGGCCTCCAGCACCCAGGTGCGAGATGCTTGTGCAGGCCAGGCCGGCCAAAGTGGAAGTGGTTAGAATTTAGGAGTTTGGGCTTCAGGGGTTTTGGGTTTAGGGTTTAGGTTTTAAGGTTTAGGTTTTAGGGTTTGGGCTTTTAGGGTTTAGGGTATAGATTTTGGGATCTAGGTTTTCGGGTTTAGGGTTTAGGATTTAGGAGTTTGGGCTTCAGGGGTTTAGGTTTTAGGTTTTAGGTTTTAGGGTTTAGGGTTTAGGATTTAGGAGTTTGGGCTTTTGGGGTTTAGGGTTTAGATTTTAGGATCTAGGTTTCAGGGTTTAGGGTTTATTATTTAGGAGCTTGGGCTTCAGGGGTTTAGGGTCTAGGGTATAGGGCTTAGGCTAGAGCTCAGGGTTGGCTATCAAGGGGATTTGCCCTGGGAACTTATGGCATGGCCATGGATTTCTGGAGGTTGAAGGGGGTTTGGGGTTTAGGGTGGTTTCATCTGGATTTCAGAAGGTTGCATCGGCCATGTAGAGAGAGTGGGAGTGTGGTCTGTGGTGGCTTCACCCAAGAAACCCTCAGCGTTGAAGTTCTAACCTTTGCAGTTCAGAAATCTCTGAATGGCAGCTGCGCCAGCAATCCCTTCATAACCCGCGGTTTAGGATCTAGGGTTTCTCAGAGCCATCAAAGGTTTCTTTTCTTGACCCAACTATTAGCACATTGGGGCAGCTTCTTATTGGGTTGTATATAAACCTTGTGTTTACCCTACATCAACCCTATATACGCCCTACATAAACCCCATATGAATTCTATATAAGCCCTGTACACACACCCTCTAAAACCCTCTTATCATTCATTTTTCCGACGCGCTGTAGGCCTGGCGACTTTTCTACTCTGCACGGCCATGGCGCTGGTGTTGGTGCCTTTGGGTCTCCCTGCTTTCTTGCTGCTTGACTCGGCTGGGGTGGGGTGGGTGGGGTAGGGTGTGGTGTGGGGTGGTGTGGGGTGGTGTGGTGTGGTGTGGTGTGGCGCGGGGTTGGGGGGGGGGGGGGGGGGGGGGGTGCCTCCGCTTCGAATCGGAAGAAGGGGCGAAAGTCCATAGACTATGAGATATACGGGATCTTACCATGTTTTTGGAGAATTCCATGTTCTATCTACTTAAGGGGAATGGTACTTTCCAATTCGAGATTTCCGTTTGTAAGAGCAATCCTGGGTGGCTTCTTTGTGGCATCAAACTCTAAATCCAGGCAGCGTGCAACGGCCCCCGCGTTGAGACACTAGCAAATAGTAGCGTGTCTATCCTTCATAACCTTGTGGTTCATGCTGTGCGGATGCATCCTGGGTTGATGAAGAAGTCAATTGCTTAGCATCCTTTGGCAAAACTTGGCGACCTTGGGCATCTGGGCTGATGCTGCCCTGTATAACTTCTATGACTGAGCTAGTCAACTTCCTTACGCGTATCCTTGAAGCCCCGTATGTGCATTTACGAAAGCAGCAAGTCCCCTTTATTACTCCAAAATACTCTCACCCTTGTTATCATATCACAGCCCCCGCACGACAACTGATTTCTGGATATAAACCGCTACCCAATGTCCATGTCATTTTCCATTTTCTTTTCCATTTGATTCTCTATTTTTGGGTCTTATATCACCAGAATAGTCTTATGGTTTCCTTCTGCTGCGGTAGGACGAACGTTCGACTCACTTGTTATTGCAGACCTACACTACAAGCAGACCCCTTCTCCGCATAGACTCGTCCACTAAGCACTGCTGGAACCTTAAAGTAGTACACTTTAGGTGGACCCCCCACCCAGTAATAGTGACTGTTATGGATAATAAGGAGTATATTAGGGTCCTCTTGTATTCCTATTATACCACTATTACAGGGCGGGGGGTCCTCCTAAACTACATTTACTCCGCAACATGACCCATGCTGGGTGCTCTCTTCATGGATGTTTGGCATCCTGACAGGCCCGAGGCCCCAGCAGGTCGAAACTTTATTCCTATAGCCCCAAAATAGCCAGCACAGTCCTTA